TTATATCATAGGTATAAAGTCACCAGAAAGTTCAATTTTATACTAGACATTGGGGACTAAGCGAGGTATTGACTAGAGTTTGCCTTACCTGAATTTTAATAATAGATCGAACCAAATTCGTTTGATATATTATCGGTAAGCCAGATACAGTCACTGGATCTACAAGTATATATTCAATAGGTATAACTACAGACACTATTTATGCAAAGTTTTATTTCGATTTCTTCATTACTAGCTAATTGTATACTGTAGTCCGATTTAACCATGAATGTAACATCAAGAATATCGAAGATTATATTGGGCGCAAAGTTTGATTTACATTAATTTGAATAGTTCTGGGATGGAATTTCAACTAAGACTGGGTGGCACCATTGTCGGTTTAACCGAGCAATTCATGGGGACTTTTCAGTAAGTCTTGCTTGCATTACCATTTATCAATTAAATATAATCGGCAGCTTGATGGATCATTCGCCAATATTCACTGTAGAAACTCATCTTTCTCCAGCAACACATCCTCAAGATTTATTTTGATTCTTTAAGCACTGAGAACCATATTATTTCGCAGAGTAAAACAAAGTTGCTAGTTTAAAGGACGTTTTATTTAAAACATACTTATATTATGAGCATAGCTCATGGAAAATTGGTTGTGGTTGGCCCTCTAGACGTCTTATAATGTCACATAAACATGCATTTCTTGGCGAGTAAATGTTCCAATAAAGCTAGCAGGCGATTTCGGAAGAATATGGGATTCGCGGCTGTATCCACTCAAGCTTTCTTTCATTTGCACAGTCATTTGGCATTGATCAATATACACTACATAAAGCGCGGCTTTACAAAGAAAAGTATGGATTCCCTCAATCGCTTCAGAAACTTCATTCGCTGCTCTTTGCAGATGGCATACAAGTTCATAGCTAATGACTCCATTATTTACAGTTATGCTGCAGCTGGTCATTGTTGGTTTACTGTTTTGATTTTGTGCCGTTTCACAATGACTTTGTGCGCCATACAATCAAAAACAACAAAGTCAAATTACAGGATGGCATTGACAAACGAAATGAAACGAGCTAAAGTGGAAATTTTTAATCGTGACTGGCAACAATGGCTGCCAATTTAGATTAATGTTGACTTTGATGTTGGTCTGTTATATATAACCCCTAAAACCGAAAGTTCTCATTAAAAAGAGTTCAGAATACATGAACACTGAAGAAATATAATAAAACCAATGTGAATAATCATTCCTGACTCTTTTCCTGAAAGCTCAAAATACTTTTATTTTCCGCCTCAAAATTACCTTAATATTTCTTCAAGACCACTAGTGTAGTAGATACATTGTAAGCCACTCGTCGAGAGTTGAGGTCTATAAGATTATAAGTTTCGTGAAGAACAATAAGGAGTATGTATTATAGAGCTCTACTTAGTCAGCCTGATACCGGAAACAATAAATAATACATACCGTTTGTCGTCCGTATACGGAGAACGTAAGAGGTAAAAACCAGCAGCGTGAAAATCATTCAAACAACGTCGAAGTTCTGATTTGATTCAGATCAAGGGCTGTTCTTTCAACAGCAAGTATATCCAGTACTTCTTGAGATCAACATGAATCAACATGACATTTATTAAGATGATTGAAGTATTATGCATAAATAGTTTTAAGCCGAAATACGAAGTTGCGACTATAATATCCTTCAAGTTTGTGGTTCCTTAAAAACTTGCTTTTGATCGGTTGGTGCGCAGCTATATGCAATGCTGGTTCGATTGTTAGGAAATTCAACCGTTACCTGGACAATTTCGAGACGATACACCTTGTCAAATAAAAGTTTTCATACAAAAACTGATTGGTTTAGTGGACAGATATAAATTATGCTATAGTGTGTCGATATCAACTTGTTTGGACAAATGAGTAACTATGAGGAAGAATGGGACGTATAAATTTCAGATAATAACTGAAAGAGGCGGGACTAGTTCGCATATAAAACAAAAGGACGGACAGACCTACTTGTGTTAAGTCGACTCACTTGTCATACTGATCATTTATCTTTATATATAATTTACAATTTGGTGGCAAACTTAATAACCCTTTCAGTTGTGAATATAACGATTTTATAGCCTCACTTTTAGAGATCAAGTATGTACATGTATTTTATCTTTTACGGAATTGAAAATGAACCGAGATATATTATATTCTATTAGCTCGGTGAGTATCTTAGGAAAAATTCAAAATACTCAAGCAGCCTTTAAGATATTGTAATATACTCGCAATGAAATTTATTCTAAAATATGATATTCAGAAAAAGCATTATAAGTCAGTCAGAAATTTCGTGATTCCACTGATTCTATAGCGCTTTGTGGAGCTTCTCGAGAATGAAGACATTAAGGTTCGTTCTTCTTTAACATTCGCATTTATTCCTGGGGTCCTAGTCTTACAGCGAGGCGCCGTTCGATTATTAACAATCCGAATATCGTGAGCTGTTCAAAGTTTACGGGATTGAGCCAATCTTAAATCGAAAAATGTTATCATATGTCAATCTAAATTACCACCGGATTATCTTTAAATAACAGGATATTTTAACCTTAATTACATAATATGTAATGAAAATTTTCCGGGCTTATCATCAAGTCATCGTCAAAGGATAAAATACTTTTGTCCGAATTTTGCATCCATCGCAGCTAAGCCATCTTTAGGGCGTCCAATGTCAAAGTTGGATCGTAACCTAACTAACGAAAGATCAGATCTTGATCTGCAGCATGGTATAACTTATACAGTAATAGTGATAATAGCAAATGTGTACCTCCAAGAACGCACAAGTTTCTCAGCAAACGAGTTCAAATAACCAGATTATTCAGTAACCATTTTATCCATGCCACAGCATACTGTACCATCGCTTAGTAAGGCACTGGGCTTTGGCATACTGCAACAAAATTTCTGAAGGTGCTAACGCTTACGCAGGTTCTGCTTGTATACGCACTGTTTGCACATGAGATATTGCATATCAAACCATTAAGTCCTCAGTTATACTAACTTGTCTATTCTAACGCGACGGCATCCGCAGCATGGTGAGTGTACATAACAAAATTGATTTCATTGCAAAACTGTGCGCACTGGCGGCGAAGGCGAAGTCGAAAGCAGAAGCAATGGCCAAATACACAACAGTTTGTGTGACATAGGAGCCAACTGAAGATTGTCCAGCAATACTATTGTGGCGGTTTGTATGGACATGAAAGTGTGAAAAATTCAACAAAATATACCGGTTTCAACGAATGCAATTAAATGTAATTGTATTTTGCTTTCTAACATTGGTGTGTGTTTGTTGTAGCAACAACAATGCTGTTTGAAGTGTGCGTGTTGCATTTACGCAGCACTCGAGCGCTTTGACAACGAAAATTGAGTGAATATTCCTTTATTGTGATAACAAATTGCTGAGCAGTGTCACTTAAACTTAACAGACAAGTTAATGTCCATCACAATGTGTAAATAATCGCAATTATTAATAGATTTAATGTTATACCAAGTAAAATTCAACAAATATTCATTGAATTTAATCAAAATCCTTGATTTTGGTTTGTGGTGGGGTTTATATAAATATATTCTAAAGCAGACTCTGGTGAACTATCTAAGTTGATCTCTTTTGAAATATCTTTCTTTCTCTCTTATTTCAATATCGTTTACCCTACTTTGTTTCCGACTCACTATACAAATTTTAGATAGTTAGCGCTGTTTCCAATGTTAACTAAATCGTGTCTATATTCTATTGACGATAGTTGAAAAGTCAGTTATTTCTTAAAACCTTGCCACTTTATTTTGGTTTTCTATAAATTACGATATAAGTTTAACCGTAAGTCTTCAAAATACAAAGAAATTTGTATTTTTACGTGTATTATTTTATTTGTCCTTGAATCATGAATAGTAAAACTGATCTTAAATATGCAAAAAAACATTGTTGGCAATTACAATAGCGCAATACTGTAATCGCGGTATCCGCATGCCCTCTTTACGATTTCAACACGATACTTTTTTGTTGCTTTTGCATGTCTTTTAAGAATAGAAGCAACGAAATGACGTATCAAATCAGCTTAAATAAATTATCGGAATAAACTACAACTAAAGTATAGAACCTTTCAAATGGAATTTATGGATCAATTCATTTTACTTCGTTGACACTTTCAAAAAACGTCTTTCCTGTAATGATCACTGTGGAACTTTCAAAATTACAGCTGCCCATTCTACACAACTCTATGAGCAGGTATGCATCTAGCCGATACAAAATGTCAGGATGCTATTTACCAATTTGGTTGGAATACAGGTGAGTTCAGAGATATGGGTTTCACCCACATGCGACCAGTGCCTCTTTTCAATTTTAGCCACACTCTTATGAAGTATTTGTACCATCTGGCGTAAAATCTTATGTATTAAATCATTAAAGGCCAGGACGCCTACTTTTCAGAAATTTAAACCGTAGATGCCCTCTTAAGAGATTCGTTGTAAATAGCAGTCTGGTTTATATTGGCGACCTCATATTAACAATGATGACGACTAATGGCGTTTTGGGTGTACAAAGCCTGATTTATGGTGCCAAGGAACATGATCTCATAATTTTATAGTCGGTTGTCCGATATTGGCGTTCCGACAAATGAGCAGATTTTGGTCAGAAAAAGTGCAATTTCTGCATAATCTAAAAACTAACGTTCGTATCAGACACGGTAAGACGCCATGCTGATTCTATATATGTATCTTTAGAGATCGCCACGTTTGAGTTCTTCCTATTATACCCTTCAGAGTATAAAAATATAAAACAAATTCAAGCATCTTAAACATCACTACTTTAGTTGTTCACACATAAAACATAATAAATATATTTATATTTGAATATGTTATTAGAGTCCTTTATACACGTGTATAAAACAGAAGCATGTCACACACTGAACTTGCAGCTTATTTTTAATACGTTTTTATTTTAAATTATTTATTTTTTTAGTAGAATCTATAGCATAATCAATCCTACCTTGAAAGCTTTTCTGGAAATGTATAACGCCAGTAGATTTTTTTAATTTTCAATTCTTTAAATATAGCGGAAATTTCAATTTAAAGATTTAAATGGTGGAATGAGGCCGATTGATGGTTAAGTGCTTAATAACTGACGCTAATCTCTGCTGGTTGCGTTCGTTTAAAGCTTTCTGTTGATACCATATCATTTGAAAATTCTGTAAGTAAAAATATAGGGTTTGCAGCTGGAATATATGTATGTATAATTTAATCGCATTCAATTTTAATAAAGAATTAAGTTCAATGGATTATTTATAATCAAAGCGCAATTTGATGTGGCATTTTTCCATTTACTGTTTTCGGAAATGGAAATTCTGAAAATTAATCGTTGTTACAATTTTAACATATTGAGGTTCGATCGTCATTTGAATCAGGGTTTACAACAGGTTAGAAAAGAAATCCTTTGTAGAAGAGTTGGAGTTGATAACTTTCCTAAAATGAAACTAGAGCTAAGTAGTATCTTCTCTTTAAAATCTTGGACGGATTAATACAAAATCGTAGTTTAAAGAAAACACATTTTTCGTCAAAATTAAATATCATTCTTATACTTGTATATGAGTGCCATCGAATATACTTCTCAATACTCTTTAGGGGATTGGTATTTTGTTGAAATACTAACATAGGCAGGAAATGTTGCTGGGCAGTATCGGTAAGAAAAATTGGTACAATTTCATCATGTGTCTTTCAAACGAAGTTTGATAGTTTTAGGTATCGGCTAGATCATTGATAATAAAAATTTCAAATAAGACCAATGGCGTACTTACGGCTGATCTATAAAATCATGTTCTTGTATGGAAAACATTTTTTTTAACAAGATATCCTCACGAAATCTGTTTTTCTTGTTGGCATCTTAAAAATTATGTTTTTCAATGCTGAAAACTTTTAATTCAATATAACTCAGACTTTATATTGAAAACTTTAGAGCTGCCTCTTAGCAAACTGATTTATAACAAAACGTCAAATTGCAATTTTCCCAAATATGCAACCAAGATTATTTCTGTTACGTGATAACAACAACCACGAAATCATATTCTATTTTCAGCTCAATAACACCTTCATTAAGTACATATGGGCTGTCTGAGCAGCGATGTGTCCGTTTGGATGCAGGTCTCAAACAACGATGTTGCGTGTTGGATGATTTACAAGTATATAAACTACATATTAATTCAACATAAATCACGCAAATGCGGATACGCGCACGAAAACAGTTGAAGGAGAAACGGAAAATAAATTCCAACTTTTTGAATTTTTGCGGTGTACTCACACCTTGCAGATAAAGAAGTCAATTTCACGCATTCTACAAATGTGCTGGCATTCATGGATGAGAGTGTGCTAAGAGCATTGCAACAAATTTTAATGCATGATATCTTTAACACAGAGCCATACATATGTGCAGTGCAGAGAGGTGACATTGTAAGCACACACACAGTAGGAGTTTGAAAACACGAAAACCCATACAGGTGAACTTGAGACACATATTTTGTATGTATGGACATTTGCATGAATGTACAATGATATCCAACATATCAAGCTTAACACATACTAAGTACTCAACAGACGGAAATCCCTTAGGCAGCATCATGAGTGTCCAGGTATATGCATACATGGTTGTTCGGTTTATTCCCTAATTTTTATACCCTGAACAGGATTTCTAAGATTGAAAGTTCGTAGCGCTCACCAGGCAACGTCGGAGACCCTATAAAATATGTATGTATTATAAATTATCACGTGACGCAATTAGCCATGTTCGTCTGTCTGTATATCGCGAACTAGTTCTCAATTTTCAAGACATCGATATGAAATTTTGCACACTCTTTTCTCACCAAGAAGCTGCTCATTTGTCGGACACGATATCGGATCATATAGCATATAGCTGCCATAAAACTAAGATCGACTCAAGTGCTTTATGGAAAGTTTTTCATTTGGAGATATCTTCACAAAATTTGGCATAGGTTTTCTAAGACTTCTTCGAAGAAATTTTTAGATCGATCACACACATATAGCGCCATCAAACTAACTTCAAAATCAAGTTCTTTTCTTTCTTTTTGCAAACGCACCCTAAGTTTTAGGTTTGACCAAAAAGAAGATAAACAAACTCTTCATTTTCTATTAAAGGCTTAAATTATCTCTTTTCAATCAATTTTATGGTAGATCTTTCATAAATTTTTATCTCAGATGATCTAAACTTTGAAAAGGTATGCTTACAAAATTTTCTTCTTACTAAACAGGTCGGATATTTTGTTTACAAACTTCTTTAAAAGTTGTACGCATTTAAAGTTATGCATCAAATGTACTGTCATCAGTCCATGTCGTATAAGCACAGAATGTATAAATCACTTGTATGAATGCTCGAATAATTAGACACGGTTTAAATTGAAAATAAAGAGTTTGTTTACTTTGGATACTTTTTGAGAAACTGATATTTCAGGGGCGTTTCAAAACAATAAGCATCACAATCGACTTGGAGAAATAACGATATCCTAATGCTACTCTACATATGAATGTGTACATATAGTGTGAAGAATTGCAGCAGTTAAGGGCGTTTATATTCATTCACGACTATTCATGCTCTATACATATTATACAAACACTTACAATAACTAGCGTTCGAGCCCAGTAGATATTATCGAGACGACAACAACAACAAGTTTGCAAAGTACAAAAAGCGTGAGAATAGGGTTGCAAGGCAGGCAAAAGTCAAGTTGTTGGCGCGTGTGTTGCATGCGATTCGACGAGCACCAGAGATGCTGCAATGTTGCAACAACAAATTGTAACAGATAACAACAACACAAACCAGCAATATATAAGCATACCTCATACGCTGCTATCGTCATGTAGCATTGTTGTGTGAGTGCTTTGGCGCGTAGTAATATTCGACTGATTGATCGAAGTGCCGTGAAATAGTGGCAAGTGTGCTTGTGGCTTTATACGCTTCTCAAACAATCACAATACTCACACACAACATTACGCCATAGCACTCGCTTACAACATTATTATGCTAAAATGAAATGGTTGCGTTACAAATACAATAGTACCTTTGCGTATGTGTGGTGTGGTTTCTGGTTTTATCAGTATCGTAACTAGCTGGTTTATGATGAAAAGTACAAGTACGCGCTGCATTTGTTGCAGTTATACATTGCAACACAGAGATTAACTGTATTCAAAATACATAGATGGTGCAAGGTTTTGAGATATTTCGATATTTACCTTTGTAGATAAAAAAAATATTTTTGAAATAAAGAATAGAATGATTACCTTGACACTTACACTTTATTTTTTGAATGAACAATGCTCTATTTGTGCCATGGCTTGATATTATAGTAAAAATAGAATCCGATAAGGTAGATTAAGTCGGCTCCAATTGACTGAAAGTTTGTAATAGATACTTTTATGGCGAAAATACACTCAGAAGTTTTCAATTTTCATCCGAGGCAGAAAATCTAATATCGATGAAAAGAAATCTTTGGATAGATACAGATCCTATAGGGTATAAGGCACAGCTATAATCACTTGCGTCGAAAATAATTACCATTATCATAGATCAACACCTAATGGATCTTTACTTCAAAGAAATGAATAGACAAATCGTTGAAGTTTAATGATAAAAGCCTTGAGGTGTGGAAAGTGAAGATTCATGGTGGCGAAAAACTTTCTGCTCGATTAATTTGTCAAGTTTGTGAACGAAAGAAGTCACATGAGACCAAATCGGAAAGACGGTAAATGAATAGAGCAGCAGTTCTAGCAGAATGATATGACGTTGGTGGGAATGTGAATGTGTTTCAGCGTCAGTCGGATATTCTGCAAAGAGCGATGACCGATCGAGGTTCTGCAATAGTCGATAGATCTCACCTAAATGTTTCTGATCCGAATACCTTCTGCCGTTCCGTGGTCATGGTTGGTCTAACTGGCGGGATCGCAGACTTTGTCAAATATCTCCCTAACAGTCGTTTTGCGGAACCAGGGCATGTGTTTCTTTCCATTTTTAAACTGTGATACTCAGCTTCGTGCAAAACAAAATTATGAGTCGGATAAGGAGAAAGTATATATTATATACAATTTGTGAGTCTTGCACCGTTACCAACAAACTACAATACATACACAACACAACGTTAGTAGATAAAATATTGCTCAGTAAATACTATTATACTAATGTTGATGCCCTACATGCGACACACAAGATTTTAATGAGCAAACTTTGGAAAATGTTGCAATCTCTGCCACTAACTAGCAACATATTACGACTCTATTGGCTTCCATAACTAGAAATAATTTTAACTTTAGATGGTGCACAAGCTTAGAATCTATATAGTGAGTCAGCTGCCAAACACACAGGCACGAACATAATTCAACACATTGCATTTACTTTGGCTAAGAAAAACTTTTAAGTCCACTTATCAATTGCATTTCCAGCAATTCTTTTGAATCTGCGCGCCAGTATTGCCACGGAAACACAAAACAGTACAGTTAGTTCTAAGGTCAGCACAAAACATACATAGATACATAGACAACACATAGGAGAGACAATAATTCTCTAAAATTACTCCAACTACAAGCATGCATGTAGACACGATGACCTGAAATATTATTCAATATATTACTACGACAGTAAGAAGAAAGTACAAAATATTATTAGGAAATATGAACATGGTCTTATTTTAATTAGAGCAGTTTATGGTAATAAAAATTAGATAAAATGGCCTTTAAAAGTAAAACAGATTTAGAAGGGTGAATAATCGATTAATTGATAATTTTAGTTTTGTTATAATTAATATAATTCTCCCTTTAACTAAACTGGTTTATCGATAAGTCGTCAACAAGGTCTTTTAAAATATTTACATTGAATAACAGCATTATACTCAAATTTAGTTTTCATTCAGTTAAACTGATTTAGTAATATGAACAATCGTTTTATCGATAACATGTCTTTGAAAAAGTTTATATTCATTTAAAAATTGATACAGGTGTGCTTAATATAATTCTTCCTTTAGTTAAACTGGTTTAGCAATCGATAATTCGATAACGTCCTAATTAAAAGAAACTTTTTTTGTTTAACACTATTATACCTTAATTATACAACACTTTCCCTTCGCTAAACTGATTTAGAAGTGTGAATAATCGACTAATCGATAACATGTCTTTCACAAATTTTACACTAATT